ATCTTTTAGTATCATACTGACTGTAGTTTACTTTTCGTCTCTCTATTTTCTTTTTTCTATTTCGTCTATTTTATTTCGTTCATCTATTGTTTTTTTTCTCGTCCAGTTGTGATCGCTATTATTCTAGGTCTATATATTGCATCATCCTTAACTATCTCTTTCTCGTTTTTTCTTTATGTCACATGTCTTTGTTCTTTTGGATATATATATATATATACAAGAAATCATACATTTTTTACTGTGTCTTAGAGTGTATTTTGAATACAGAGTTAGTAAGTCGATGGACCAGTTAGTGGTCTCCTTACTTCTTGTTATTCTTGTATATATATTTTTCAGCGTTATTTTAAATATACTACACACAGTAATTTGGCACTTTGTTTAATTTAGGAAACTGAGAGAGTTTTCTTGTCTCGCTTAATTAAAGAACCCGGGCTTAACAACTAGTAGAGGTCGAAAGGAAAATTAAGTGATGACACTGTTCTCAAAGTGTTCATGGTAGATTCTTACTAGACGAAATTGTTTTTGGTAACTCTTGAGTAGATTCAAGTGATACAGCTGCTCTGGATAATCTCCTTGTTCCAGTTGTGTTAGTTGCTGTAAAGACCGTTCTTGCCGTTTTTATCGTCCATTTGTTTCATTTGCTTGATATGTTATGACTGCTCGATTTAGTTTTGATTGAGCGATTGTAGTTGTTCGACTGTTTCAAATTATTTCAGTTGGTTTTGTTCTGCTTGTTCTATCTGCTCTACCTGTTCCAGTTGTTTGGCTTGTTGCCTGTGGTCTTGCACGAGTTGTTCTAATTGATCGTTTCGAACTGTCGCAGTTGTTCTTGTGTCTGATTGTACTGCTCCTCTTATTGTTGTTTCAAATCATCCAGTTGATTCCGAAGATCCTCGTCTACCATATGATCGAGTTCCTCTTCCTCTTCTTGTTCCCTTTTCCAACGAAATAGTACTCATCGTCGTTACGCTCGACAACTGTGCAGTATGCAGTAGTGCATCTTGATTGTTAGACATATTCAGGGATATTGTTGTCACAGCTTGTCGAGCACTAGCCATAGCAACGGTTTGTTGTTGTTCATCGGTTGACTTCGATGGATTTCTACTAGCCGAGTCGGAATTGTTAATCGTGTTCTTGACATCCATTATTGAACAAAATCTTAAACAGAAAAATCAATCTATCACCTGTTTCTGATCATAAAAGGCAGAAGAAACAAACTGTCTCTCAAGGATAAGTTAACATGAACAGTAGAATCCAAGCGATCTGATGCGGATCATTTGCTTTGTTTAAGATTCGCATCTGATGTACTTGAGTGCTGATTCTTACGAATTTTTTGTTTCGAATGGAAATGAATTAATCTAGAATATACAGGCGCGCGATGCATGTTTGTGCGCAAATTGAACAGAATAGGTATGTATGCCAGGCATAGTACGTGTGGAAACTAGTCGTTTGGCTCTTCGTGTAACAGTTTGCAATATTTTGGAGGTATTTTGAAAAAAGCACGTGTTCGCAAACTTGAAAGGGTTCTGTCGAAACAATTGCCTGTGTTTTAGACTAATGAGGTCCACCAACTATCGGTTCCGAATATCGGCATGAGACAGGCAGTTAGGCCTCAGGAGAGTCCTTTTCTGGAAAACTAGTTTTTCAGAAACTGTATAAAATAACCAAAACCTCTCTTAACGAGGCGTAATTGTAGCCCGCACATTTCTGATTAAAATGAGCCATCTCCCAGCTTTACATGACTTTTCTTTGCAAAGTTATATAGTTTACGATAAAAGCTCTAGATATTCATTGTCAGCTCAGAGCTACAGAAATAAGGAAAAAATTAATTTAGGGCTTTTCTTGTAAACTATAACTTTGCAAAGAAAAGCCATGTAGAGCTGGGAGATGCCACCCAAATAACATACGAGAAACAGTACACAAAATTCACCCATGACTAAGTTTTTTGCTTAGATCCATCGATCGAGGAGAAAACATTTTTTCAAAACCGATCGTATTCCCGAACGAGGACTTAGAATGTAATGAGGTACGCAAAATGTTCGTCGACATGTGCTATATACTGCATGCAACTTTATGCAATTGTTTTCCGGAGCTAAGTTATAGGTTTTCAAAACACTCTCAGGTTTTCACGTAAGATCCACGTTTCTCGGTGTATATAAAGATTTTTGTGTATTCTTTCTCTTACTATAAGCTTAAACTCTAAATCATTGCTGAGATCGCTTTCATTTACGTAATGTACATTTTTATCGTAATGTACGATTTTATTTAAAACATTAAAAAAGAGGTTAGACATTTTTAATCTAAGAGTAAGTTATGATTTCGCCACTACATAAGAATTCAACCAATGTGATAAGTACATCAAAATACAGTGTAGAAAAACTAGAAGAATACAATAGGAGCAATAGTTGATTTATAAACAGTGAAAAGCCTCAAGACGCTGTTTTGTGAGTTAATTTAGTATTTTAAACCGTCGAATTCTTCTGACTGATATCTCAATGGTGCAATTCGTAATGCACTAATATCGAACAACCTTAAAATAATCAAATCTTACACATATCTAACCCTTGAAAGTGGAACATATGCTGATGCAACTTCAAGTTTGCCGAAGTTGCCGAAATAAATGAAGGATGATATTCAACGCCACAAAACAGTATATTACAGCGAAGCCAATACTGATGCTTCGACAAACAGAAGGCCTCATGTAGTGAGAAGTGTTTTTCCGGGAGATACAACAAGCTTTAACAATGCTGGTTAATTACAGGATTGTTTTGTAACTTGAGACGGCTTGGGAAGAAATACAACTGAACATTGTTGCGGAGGACCATCAAAAGCAACCATAGAAAGTCCATTACGTGTACTACGTGTGTTGCATGTCTTATGTGTATTACGTGTCAATGCTCCATTTGAGGGTTTAACTGAGTTCCTATCACCACCCAAACATCTTTTCAGTACTTTCGTGAATTGTTTACGAAACGATGGTGAGAAGATCAGATAAAGATAGAAATTAAATGTATAACATGTAAATGAGAAAAATAATGCAATTGCTAAACCGACATTTTCTTGTGCTTGACGGAGAGGAGTTTTCGGTATGTACATCGTAATTAGAGTGTAGAAATTTTGTGTTGTATAAGCACATGTTGCAACAAAAACACAGATGACTTGCAAAGTTAGCATTTGACCAAGCTGACGTTCAATTGTAGTTCGTTTCTGGCCTTGTTGTAAATGTTTGATGTTACGATAGGTTAATAAACCAAAAACTGTCATAAAGGATGGTTCGGATAATACGAGGTAGTTAAATGTCGTGAGTGGTAATCAGAACTAGCACTGAACTTAGTCCTTTTATGTTTCTGCAGTCTTTGATCTTGCTGTATGAAGAAGTTAGCCCAAACAACGACTGTTAGTTTTCCGAACATTGATAATTGATATGCAAACAGTTCATCTAATATTTCGTGGTACGTTTTGTTCCAACTTATTTGAAGGGTTTATGCAAGTTCTTCCACTTGTATAGGCGAACGCATGATGATAGCCTTCTATTATCGATTATCGTGTGATAGTAGCAATGCTCTTTTAACCTATTGTACTTTGGCTAAATCAACTACTGCTTCCGGTTAGCTCACATTCAGTTCATTTAAGCGCATTAAGAAACACTTCTTTTATTGCTTTTTATCGCGACATGAAATTTATC